AGTACTTGAAAATAGTCGTGCAACGTTGTACTGTCCTGTCCTGTTTATTGGCTATAATAGGGCGATCCCACGCCCTATTATAGCCCATAAACAGGACAGGACTATTGTAGCCAATAAACCTGATATAGTGGTAATAGACTCATTGAGCGCCGAGTAATGATTGTTGATATTACCGTTCCATATGACGACAATCTCTTGAAAGCTGAAAAAGATAAACAAGTAAAGTATTTGGATTTGGCCCACGAGATTGTTGACATGTGGGATGTTGATTCGTCAATCATTGTACCGATAGTCATTTCGGTCCATGGATTAATTGCTAAGAGCCTCGACCAACATCTTCGGAGGCTCGCTTTAGGCAGTTGGATTAAGGGCCTGATGCAGAAAGCATTTCGTGTCGATACGGCAAGTATTGTGAGGAGGTTTCTGTCTCTGGAGTCCTAACCACCGATATCTTGGTCCCTGTACCCGATAACGATGGGGCACTATTTATTTTTATATTTTTAAATGTATTTTTTTATAGTACATAAATATATTTAAAAATGTAATTTATATGTATAATTAATGGAATCAACAGAATAATAATAATAATATTTTCGGACATTGACACACAACGTCATCTAGTTTCAAACTAAGCAGAACGGCTAGGAAGCGGAAGCTAGATTGGCTGATAGAATATTTATACTTTTCTTTTATAAATACATACATATTTATTATACATAGAAAACACCCAAACTACGAAATAAATATTTATTTATTTATACATCTTTATTGTACACCGCTACAGTATATATTGTACAGACATGGATGGACATCTACATGTGGTATTACAATAGGCGGTCTTATCGCACACGGCGATCTCTTACAGACAACCTTTACACGGATATTGCCAAGTATGATTTAGGGTAGTCTGTGGTGTACTTTATAGTATTAAAATATATAAAAATAATCATACTAAATACGCTCACAATATACATACTAAAACATACATATATCAACATAAATAATAAATACATACAAAGGTTACAAACGTTAATACCAATCTTTTCTAACCTATGACATACCAAGCCTTAACAATAATCAGTATCCCTTCAACAGCCCTTACAATGTCAAGTAGTAATTTGTGACCTGTTTTTTAAATGATTGCAACGATATAGCTTTTCGGATTCCCTCGGGTAAGTTGTTCCACAGTCTAACTGCCTGCACCGAGAACGATTTATCCCTTAATTGTGTGGTATGCTTGGGCATTTTCAACTTCAGATTCTCCGATGATCTCAGGAGGCTGCAATGTGAATTGTGTAAGAACTCAAAACGTTCTTTGAGATAGGATGGTGAATGCGGTAAGAAAAGAATACCGTATAAAATAGAGAGGATATGAACATTCCGGCGAAGGCGTATAGGTAACCATTTGAGCTTAACACGATACTCGGAGATGTGATCATATTTGCGCAAACCGAATATGAATCTTATGCAGACATTTTGGAGACGCTCAAGTTTGTTCAATTCGATCTAGATAGCTAACATCACCATAGTCAAGTATAGGAAGGAGAAGAGATTGTGCTAGGGCGATTTTGGTGTCGGTGGGAAGAAAGTTACGAAGTCTTCGCAATGACCCCGCTGCAGCAAATAATTTTCGACTAACCTAACCAATTTGAGGAGCCCAGGACAAGAACTTGTCCATACAGATCCCCAAGTGCTACACAGTTTCACTGTATGGAATACTAGATCCATCGCAATAAATAGTAGGCAGTTGTTAACAATTTATCAAGGAGTTCATCCTAGGACTACCTACTATAATTACTTGAGTTTTTGTTGGATTTACTCTTAGCCCATACTGATTACTCCAAGTACATATATGTGTCAAATCTTTGTTGATAGCACTGAAAGCTTCGGATATTTTAGCCGGAGATCATCAGCATAAAGGTGGAAGGAAGAAATTAATCGATCAGTGATGGAATTAATAAAAACTGCGAAGAGTAATGGGGACATCACGCCGCCCTGAGGTACGCCCGCAGAAGTAGTGCACCAGGAGGAATAATTATTTTCAATACAAGCACGCTGCAGACGACCGTACAGGTAGCTATAAAACCAGTCAATTACTGATGGAGATATGTTAAGAGAGCTCAGTATTCTGAGCAAGACATCAAAGTCAACGGTGTTGAAAGCGTTACTGAAATCAAGCAGAGCAAGGACCGTCAACTTTCCTTCCTCCATATTGGACCTGATATCCTCCGTAATATGAAGGAGAGCTGTTGTTGTACTGTCGCCAAGACGAAAACCCGATTGGAAAGGATTTAGGAGACAATTTTTAGAAAGAAATGAGCTTAGTTGCGTGTGGATAAGACGTTCAAGTACTTTAGACAAAAAGGGGAGAATAGATATGGGACGAAAGTCCGAGAGAGCAGAAGGATTACATTTTTTAGGGAGATTAGTGATTTGAGCCATCTTCCACGCTGATGGAAAAACACTGTTGGATACGGAATAATTAAGAATATGGCAAATCTCAGGTAGGATTTCGTCTAGGATAGGAAGTACCATATTACGTTCCTAGTGCGTTAGAAGTTATAGATACTACGCTCTTCTTGACATCACAAGCAGAGAATTGACTGAAAACAAAGGAAGGACAGTTAGGAGTCGGCAGGGATGAAAGATAGTTTAGCGCAGTAGTTTTAGTAGTTCCCCCAAAATTAGAGGACGCAGAAAAATATGTATTTAAGGAATTGATGTCAACATTTTTTGAAGCAGAATTTGAGCGTGATTTGTCGACCCCCAATGTCTTAAGAAATTTCCAGACTTTAACTGGATCACCGTTTTCAATAGATTTATGAATGTTGAGGCGTTGAGAATTCCTACACACCTTATTACAGTGATTTCTGATATGGACAAATTTATCCCAATTTGAGGCACTAGGGTGACGCTTGTACTTAGAGTGTGCCCTCTGTTTCCTTCGCTGTAATTCCTTGATTTCGTCAGTTAACCAAGGAGCTGGTAGATGCCTTACCTTAATTAAACGAATGGGTGTCATATAAAGTTGTCATATAAAGCAATTAACTCTTTTGAGAAATAGGAAACCTTTTCATCAATGCATTGCGAGTTGAACAGCATACTCCAATCAATGCCGTCGGCATCTCTGCGAAGATCATCGAGATTCATACCACGAAAATTGCGACAGGAAAGTGTTTTGGATTTAGGTTTAGGAGTACGAATTTGATAGGACAGAAAGATAAGGTCGTGATAGGAGAAGGAATCAGCAGAGCACTGTCCATGTCCAGCCACATGCTCTGCTGAAGAGATAATGATGAGGTCAAGGAGAGAAGAATTGCGGTTTGGCATATTATGTGTGGGATTGAGTGGTAGAATAGAAAGATTGTTAGAATTCATGACAGATCGAAGAGAGGAACAGCGAGAGTCGTTCTTAAGTAAACAGGTGTTAAAGTCACCCATGACTAGGGTATGACTGTACGAAGGTGTTAAATTTTCTAAGATTATTTCAAGTGAAGAGAAATAATCTACTCGCAGGGAGGGACTATAATAGATACCGAGAAGTATTTTTGAGTGTTGCAGTACGACTTCTATGAAGATATGCTCGCCAGCATTTGCGGGGGGTGGTTGAGATGACATACTGACAACGGAGAAAGGAATGTGAGTGCGGATGTATATGGCAACACCACCACCTCGTCCACACACACGATCACTGCGTACCAACTGAAAGCCGGACAACGAGTACGTTGTGGTATCTACCACAACGTACTCGTTGCCCGGCTTTCAGTTGCTTATCTAAGCATGGCTTTAGCCAAGATTCTGATATAAGAATGGCGTGTATGTTCGTACAGTTTAAGCTAGTTAGCATTTCATTGAAGTGTGCCGGATTGCTTTGGGCATTTATATGAATGACATTGAAGTTACTGGGTACATCAGAGAACTGAGCCGAGATTGTATCCGCAAGTGAAGGAATACTTATGAATCTGGTGTCACTACTGGATACGTGCAGATCATACAAACGTGCATAAATATGTGCATATCATACAAACATTTGGCCCGACCCTGGAATCGAACCCGAGACCTCAGCACAGCAGTCTTTCTTTTTTAAAAAGACAACTCCCGCATTAGGAATATATGTCGCGGGAGACTTTACAAACATACATTAAACGGACATAAAGAACACCCAGACTCAGAATAACAATTTGTGGATCACAAAAAGTGTCGTCCCATGTGGATTTTCAACTCACAACACTCGGCGTAGTAGGAAGTAGCGTGGCGACCGCTTAAACCACTTCGCCATATATAACCAGTCGCAGACATTACCACAGCACCACCGAGGCAGTTGCCTATAATCGCGTATATAGTCGTCAGTCGATATTTTATCGCCAAAACTGTTCACCGCTACACTAAAAGACGTCTTCAAGATTCTGGACTGGAATGGACTTGACATCAACATGAATGGCGAATATATCACACACCTACGATTAGCAGATGATAGAGTTGTCATGGCTGAAACTATGGAAGACCTCAGCATAGTGCTCGATAACCTTAGTAGGTTTTCTAAACGGGTGAGTTTTAAAATGAAAACGGATAAGACGAAAATTATGTCGAAAGCTACAGAGAAAATCATACGGGAAGCTGCATGACATTTTCTCGTCTCGAATACCGCAATGTCTTAAATCAAAAGTCTTTGACTACAATTTGTACTCAAATCGTCTGCTCGAGAAACGTTTGTGTGTAAATGATATATGCACTCATAGTTGCAATGCATTTAGCATTGAATTCTTCAAGAACGACTGATAACATGTACTTAGAAGTCACTTACAAGTCGTATTGTGCAATAAGGACTTGTTACATATTTTTTTTCGAAAGTAACTTGTTTAAATTTTACTTGACTATCTAATTAGGTGAGCGATTGAGATGTCCCACTTTCAACCACCTGCTACACGGTACATCTGTATATAAAGCCGTTTAGGTATGATAGAATACTCAGTGTGCTTGTTGATTGCAGACATATAACTATGGAGTTTTATGTGTTAGTTTTAAAAACAGTTTTTATTGTAATCGCTGCTGAGCCCTCTTGGGAAAAGACACCTAGTGATTATGTTGGTAAGTAATATTCCTTACACGTCAATACTCATGTTTAATAAAATTGTGTAAGCAGGTCTTACTGCATTAGTGGAATATTGTTTCTGTCGGTAAAATGATAGAATAGAGGTAAAAATTCTTATGTTAATTACATAAATAATTGGTTTAACTTCAACATCAAACTTTTTCGCGCTCTCGGACAGCTAGCTTGGCTATGGAGCCTTTACCTTTTCAATGGACAATAACAAAATAAATATTAAAATTATTATTATTATTTCTTTTTTGTTTCTAACATAAACGAGTACGAGATAGAATCAAACACTTAAGAAATCGAGTATACTTACTTGCTTGCTGAATTTTACAGTGTGCAAAGATGTGCACCTTAAAAACTTGAATCTGACTTTTCTTTTTCTTGCCATATAGTACGAGTATATAGGTCAAAACCTTCTTTCTAAGAAGAGGCCTATGTCCAGCCAGTGGACTACTATAATGTGCTAAATAAGTATATTAGAAACTACCATCAGAGAAGTCTATTTTAAGCAACGCAACGCAAGCGAATTTTACTATTTATTTTATCATGTTTGCAGCGGAGTACGGTGACTACTTTGAGGGTGATATGGTCTTAACAGAGGCGCAACGTAAAGAGATTGAAGCTGCGATAATGTATGACTATGACAACGGAGACAATACACCTAAAAACGGTTTGGTCGATGCTGCTAAACTCTGGCCAAATAATATTGTTGTGTATGATCTCTATGAAAATGATTTCAGTAAGTCCCTTATTAAGTACTAGCTTTTGCCGGTGGCTCCACCCACGTGTATTTTTCTGTTATCGCGGAAGCAAGTAGAAGAAGAGGTTTAGTTTAGTGAGACTTGAGGTTTCACGCGTGCCGTCTATCTTACGTAAGACGTAATTGTAACGAAGTTTTCTAACTTTCCAAGATACAAGAATACAAATTTAGTTTAGGACCAAATTTAGACCAAATGACCCAGTTATATTGTATGTGTTCCTAGCCATGTAGTAAGCTATTGGAATAGAGTATTCACTTAAGTGTTATCGTTACGCTGAATAATTGCTTATAGTGTCAACAAAGAGTTTCTTTGTTTTTATTATACTAGCTTTAGCCCGCGGATCCTACCGTAAGTAAGTTAGTTAGTACTGTATCAGTAGCCTATGTTACTATGTTGGTAAAAGAATTTTGAAGAAACCAATGGAGCAAGCTTGGTTTCGGAGCGTATATGGTACAATAGACCATATCCACACAGTGCGGCAAACTAAACAGAAGACCAAAGACTGTAATCAGCCCCTGTGTCTAGTATTCGTGGACTATGAGAAGGCCTTTGACTGTTTCGTCTGGTCTGTTCTGAGTCCCTGCAGCGTTTTCAAGTAGGTAGGGATATATCCAAGTGATAAGATGTCTCTACAAAGCCGTCACCACGTCCTGTCAAGTACAGAATGGACGTTATTTCCTCGAAATTATTCACGATTGCAATGAAGGATATGCAGAGACGTTGCGGGACCTACAACAGATGCTGAATGACCTGGCTGACTCTTCTATATGCATCAGCCTACGGATGAACTTGGATAAAACCAGATAATGTTAATCAACAGCCTTTACTAGTCTACTGCTGGACATGGGCCTCTCTTTAGAAAGGAGGTTTTAGCCTACTATACCACGCTGGTCAGACGGGTTGGTATAGGGTTTGTTTCAACTTTTAATTCTGTTTGCATTGCTGTGGTCCTGCGCAGTTTACCGCCTTAGTCGCCTCTTACGACACCCACGGAACGAATAGGGCTGGTGACACTCAGTATTCTTAATCCGTCACCACACGGACGTCACGATCATATTCAATGAACATGTACTACCGAAACCGATTGCAGTACACGATGTCGCTCTCGAAGTTGTTCAAAAATATGTGTATCTCGAGCAGAAATTGCAGTTAGGTAGAAACAACTTCGAGGACGAAGTGAATTCAGTTGCGTTGGGCAGCGTTTGAGAATCTACGTCTAGTCTTCTCATCGTCGATCCCTCAGTGCCTAAAGACGAAAGTATTCAATCAATGAGTCCTACCCGTCACGCGGCTGATACAAATTGAACGTATGAATACTGAGCACATACCGAAGGAGATGTCTGCAATGGGTCTTACCGCCGCAATAACAGGTCGTTCCTACGTTGGAGTTGGGATTTCTGGTCCTCGATTTCACGAGTCTCAGGACTCAGACCCAGCTCCCGCGCCTCCTGCGCCACTGATTGCGACGTTACTGGACCTCAGGGCTCCCACCCATATTGGGGCCCCATAAAGGGCCATGGACCTTACAACACCCGAGTAGAGTCACTAGGTGAAGATAGGACATCAATTATGTTTATAAATTAATTTTCATTTAAGAAAACAGTAATGTTTTATGTAACAGACAAAAAACAAAAACAAATGATTGAGGAGGCTTTACAAGACATTGCGGGGAAAAGTTGTGTTCAATTTCGCAGGAGGAAAAGTGAAAATGAATACGCCGTTATGTTACAGGTATTATATATTTTACGGATATTATACTTATACATCATCCATGCAAATATCACCATGCTATTCACAATAACATTTTTATTATATTTATTTTTTTAATCCTCTTAAAAGCGCTAATTGGAACATGTTTTTAAGTATTTGAATGCGCGAATAATCAAAAACAAGCATGAAGAAATTGTACTATGAAACATGCATTTGGCATTCGAGCGACATTAAATTTAATACTCTGTCTCTCGGGTGGGTCGTGGCTAGAGAATCCCGAGATCCGGGATCCCGGTCATATTTTAGTCCCCAAATTTTCGGGATCAAATTTAACGAATCCCGGGATTTTCGGGATTGATACATTTTTTACATAAGTCAATAAAAATGTGCGTAAAAAGAAACGCACTTGCCTTGATTTGATGTTTTGACAGCCATCTTGTCTACACAGCTGATTTCATTTGTTTTTGCTAATGACCGGTTCTGGATTATGCGTAAAAGTGTGTAATTTATAAAGTTTCTGGGCAATTTAATTAAAAAATATGAGTAGGTATCTATAAACATTGGTCTCTTAAGCATATAGTTTTTTTTTTATAGTTTATCTAAATAAGTCTAAAGAAGTTGATTTTTTGAAGTTTATTGTTAGTTTCATAAATTATTTACCGCAACACAAAACAAACAAGGCACTAGGTTGTTTATTTTATAAGAAGAAAATATAATTTTGTTTAACAGCCTTTTTGGAGATTTAAAACTTAAATATTCTATGTCCTCACAAAACTAAATGATAAACAAAAGAAATATTTTGATATGTTTTACTGTCTTTTTGTTACCACTTTCCATTGCCAATACAATTCCGGGACTATCCCGGGATCCCGAGATTAACTGTAGATAATCCCGAAATCCCGGGATTATAAAAATCGACCGGGATCGAATCCTCAAGTCGTGGCTGACTGGTAACCGAGTAGATTAGCACATTGTAAAGTTAAGCAATCGTAGCCCAGTCTGTCAATGGATGGGCGACCATTTTAACCCAATTCTAAGCCGTCGGTTCCACACGAACATCTGTAGCAATCGATTCGGGTATTTAGAGCCCTAAGAAGTTCGACAACAGTCTATTTACATAATTTCAATATCGCCTAGTATGTGGGTTGTAGAAACTTGATAGCAGTCGCTCCACGTAAAGTTTCGAAGTTCAGCCGTATCATAGCAGACTGAAAGCTAACCATAACCTAGTTTGGGAAAAGACCCGGAGGATGAAGATACTCTCTGTCACTTAGCATATAAGTGAGTAATAATAGTAATAATAGTATAAATGAGAAAATAATATTTTGGTGGCGTCCACGGCTTGAAAAAGGCAGCTTAAAAATGTCTAATTCAAGCTTCATTTAAATTATGGAGAAAAACCCAAAAATAGTTTTTTTTTGTTTTGAAATTTAGTTTGTAGAAATCTTTTAAAAGAGCCTACCTGCAGCAGTATGCAACTGAAGATCAGATCACACACAGCTTTGCTTCGACCAAAGGTTGGCTCGAGGACGATACCTACGTCATTAAGTCCGCCTTATGCAATGTATGTGCAGCAGGTGTAATAAAATAAAATCTGGCTTTAGAAGTATTTTGCTGAAAGTATAGCTGGGCATTAATAATGAGGAAAATATTTTAATAATATTAAGTATCTCTCTCAATATCTGTATAACCTCTTATAACCTCATTTGTAAGGAGCGAGCTCCTTTTCATCATTCCTGATTGTTTTCATCAATATAACAGATACCCTTAAAATTTTGCGCCCGCCTCTCGTTCCATAACACAAAGGCTCTAAAATACGTTGATTACATACTACAGTTAACAATCAAACATCAATCTTGTTCAATAATGTATATCGCATACTCTGCTTTTGTATATTGTACTTATTCTTTACTAACGTGATCACCATCATTTCTGATGATTTTTATCAATAAAACAGATACCCTGGAAATTTTTCGGCCGCCTCTGGTCTATTAGATTCATGAAAAATAAAAACATTAAGGAAAAAAGATTCAGGGATATATATGTATATGAAACAAAACTATCTTTAACAGTTGTTATATATTTTTATACCTAATATATTTTTTTAAACTTGCATTTCAAGGGTTCGAGACCAGGTTGCTTCTCTCAGGTAGGATGCAATCAGGCAAGTAACTCTACGAATTCTCAGGTGTTTAACCTGGGTGATAATTGTTTCCATCATGGCATTATAGTACATGAAATGATGCACACTCTTGGATTTTACCATATGCAGAGCTCTTACGACAGAGATGAATATGTCACAATTTTTTTTAAGAATATTCAAGCCAGTAAGTGTTTTCTTGATTCTTGTATACAAAAAAAAAAAAACATTAATTGCAATTAGACACACTAAATACGGAGAAACATTTTCGAATTAAGTCAATACACATGAAAAAAGTGAGTCATTATTAAGACGAAACGTAAGACAAAAGAATGACTCCTCCTTAGTTATATTATTGACAGGGCGCGGCTAACGCTCCATGTTGGAAAGCAATACGAGTATATACTAACTTTTCTGAATTGTCTGAACCTTTTCTATTCCATTTACTTAAATCCAAGAAAAAATAATTTTTAGCCTAGTAATTTTTTCTGCACCTTCGTTAGAAAACGACGACATGGGCTAGTTTAAGTGTCGTCAACACGAATGCCAACCTTGTATCCCTGTAATTTTATGTGCTCACAATGCTGCAAAAACTTGTATAAATTTGCTGTCCATACACAGGAAATATAAAACTGTCCATTTCTCAAATACATTTTTAATGCAGGTAAAAAAACCAATTTCGCTAAGTACACCAATGACACTGTAACAAATTTTGGAGTTCCATATGATTATAGCAGTTTGATGCATTACGATGAGAAAGCATTCTCCAAGAACGGACAAAAAACCATAATTCCAAAAAAGGTAGGTAACAAATAAACTTATTTAACCTAAAACTGTTTAAAAAAAAGAGTAAGAAGACTAGCTTGCTACATTATACTAATCTGTGAAGAAGACGCAACAGGAGTCGAATCTTCTGATGTATCAAAATTGTTTGTACATTGCAAATCTTTTCATAATTTTATTGATACTTGTGTTTGATATTGAATCCAGTATCGATACTATACGGTAGTATTTATAATTTGTAACTTGAACATGTTTGTTCAAGGAACATGCCTTAAAAGTAGGAGTAAAGTAGCCTAAGCAGTACAATTAAAAACAATCAATCAATTGTTAGCAGTTTTAAAAATTATTTATTAAATGATAATGATTATTGAATGCTTGTATGCAAGCGATTTCATACCATACCTCAATATATCGATATTCATTCGATCTTCATTTTCGATGCTTTGCTTTTCCTCGATACATTTCATACGACACTAGTAGTAAATAGGTACAATGACGATATTTTTAACATCGTAATCCTCCCTGATAGCAAAATAAGTAGTTCCTTATAGATACAGACTCATAAAACTGTTTTTGTAACTCGCACATAATAAACCCTTAGTTTTGCTTGAAAATATGAAGATGGGTGATTTTACGTATTTATAGGAATATAATTTGACTGATATTCTTACTTTTATTTTACAACCATTTTTGTATTTCAGGAAGGTGCAAAGATCGGTCAAAGAGAAGGTTTATCTGAAGGAGATATCATAAAGTTGAACAGAATGTACAAGTGTACAAGAGAAGAAACGACTACGGCAAAAGCACCTATATTTAATTGGGATTTCTTGGATAAGTTACCTAAACCCTAGTAAGATATGCGTTGATTTGTATCAAATAATATCTGAAGTTAAGCTAATTTCTCGTTGACTTTTTAAAACTCCTTGAAAATATTTAAGAAAATTTTGATGTAAATACGTTAATGCATTTAACCATTAGTGGGATCTAAATTGCAATTGTTGTTTTAGCGACTTCAGGCACTAAACTACTATCACAAACGCACTCTTAACCAAACTCTTTTACCAGCAATTATTATTATCAACAATAAAACTACTAAATTTCATATGCGTCTTCAATTACTATGATAATGTAGATTTGTACATTCCTGGCCTTTATTTCCCATCTCCCTAAGTGTTAATCCATGATATTTAGAATCGCTAAGTGCAGATTGCAGAATTTCATACATATATTTTTTTGTTGACCGTCGAAGAGCCATACTTCGTCACATTATAAGCTCGCTCGACCGGAATAATACCAGGGCTTAACAGTAATTCTGTAGTTAAGGAACTTTTTGTTGCTTTTCATTGAGTCAGTTAGCCCACCGTAGGCTCAACTCGTCTAATTCACACGGGAAGGGAACAGTCAAGAGATGGCAACGCACTTGTGTCTCTAGAGACTTGTGTCTGATGACTAACCAGTACTCCATCGCCTTGCCGCCTGCAATAGGGTTCCTGATAAATACAAGCAATGAGCCGGAACAAGCTAGTATAACTAATACTAGCTTGTACCAGCTGATTCCGGAAAGGTGTGATAATGAGAGGGAATTACTAGGCTTGATAAAAATAAGAATGTTAAGTTAGAACGAGCCCAGATTCATATACAATGCTCTGAAGCCATTGCTACTCATTGTGAATGGGTTCAGCCGGTGCAGTGCTTATGGTGAGTATGAACTTGCTTTTGATCGTATACAGCAATTAAGAACATCAATTAGACCAGTCAAATACTAAAATATGGCAGTTAGAAATGACTCAAATTAGCACCATCACTGCGTTGAACCAAAGTCTCTTTGATGACCTGTTGGTCAATGCTCCCAATATGTTCACCATCAACAACCAAAAGCCTATTGTGACCATTGATGTAACCTGTGATGATGTCATGAATGAGTCAAGTAGGATAGTTAAATGTAGTAAAAAAAAAAACAAAAAAAATATGTCATAATTAAAAAGTCGGCGGCGGTAATCACTCACCCCCTTTTCCGTAAAAAAATTGTATATAATACGCCATCACCAAAGTCAAGTTGCGGCTATATCGTTTAATATAAACATATTACTTATACTTAAGTTCGGTAGTATAAGTAATATATTTATATATATAATATATTTGCCACGGCCTCACAGAAAACCGGTGTTATGCAATTCTTTCGTTGCCTTTCACTGAGTGAGTGAGGTTACCGGAGCCCAAATCCCCCCTCCCGCTGACTGCTGAGCGAGAGGGACTCCAAGGGCGGCAACGCACTTGTGACTTTTGAGTTGCAGGTGTCCATGGGCGGCGGTAGTTGCTTACCATCAGGTAACTCGTCTGTCTCTTATACCATAAAAAAAATAAATATATATATTTATATTTAACTCTATAGTAAAAAAGCAGCAAAGGGGGGTAAGTGACTACCGCGCCGACTATTCTTTCTGACGTTACCGGAAACCAACCACTCTCCGCTTTGGTCTCCTATAAATATGATTGATGGAGACTAAACATGTTTGATATTATTACAAATGCTTAGTTCGTTTAGAGAGGAGCTTTTTTCGAGTCTTGATGACTATTTCACTTATCTGGAGCTTTCATCATCATCATCATCAACATACTTAACAGTTTACTGCTTGGACATAGGCCTCTTCTTAGAAAGGAAGTTTTGGCCACCTATACCATGCTGGCTAGATAGTTTGTATCAATGATATGATATACAAACAAGAGGTAGATACGCCACCAACATACAAAATGCGAGGGCCCTAATTACGATCACCGCCAGCGAGCGCACGTACTAATTAATTCGAGAAAATTCATAAAATGCCTTCCTGTGTATACCGAAAGTGCACAAAAGGTAAATAAAGATAAGGGAATATCATACCACAGGTGAGTGTACGCTTTGTTCTAAAATGCTTTAGTATGTACGATTACGGCACGAATATTTTGTGGGTGCAGTATTAATACAACGCTTTTTTAACAAAAAATAAAACACATATTCCTGAAACTAGACCTTGTGTAATTTATTTGCCTTTACTTAAGTGTGGTCAATTGTTTTTATAGATGTTTATGTTCATACACGTACATGCTTCGGATACCTAAAATTGCATTTTGCTACAGTTGCATACTTGCGTGAACTTTAATGGTTGCTGGAAAAGTTATTTGCCGCGTATTGTAATGATACTTAAATTTCAGCTGACATCAACTGTTAACGAAAAACATAATAAAAATATGTAAGTTAATATAATTTTAAATAACTTTGTAGGCAAAATCACTCGTGTCCAAGACACCACAAAAACACAATTATTGATTTAAATCTGGCTAAATTAGGTTAGGACTGAAGAGCTACATATTGGTATACAAATAATAAACATAATATAATAATAGTACACGGGCTGCAGTAAGTAACATACATAAACCTGTGAAATTATAATCGATTTGTAAATACAAAGAAATGATATCGAAATCTCTTAAGAATCGAATATTGTAGTAATCTAATCTCTTGAACCCCCTACCTATTCATCCATTTGTCAGAACTGTCAATCGGTACCTCTTAGATTAGATGGACTATAATTGAATATTCATTCAAATGTGCATTATTTGCTAGAGATTATAAGAAATTATATCAGTAATTCATTACATCATTTTATTGTTTTATTATAATATATATTATATATATGAGCAGTGGTACATGTTACATGTACATGGTACAACTTTTTACATAATAGGATGTAGAAGCGAAATATTAGAATTAGCAGTTTCAGACCACACAGCGCAATTATTCCAGTGCCCTGTTTCAAAAAAATGCAAATTTGACTATTGGTTTACAATTATGCGTAACTATTCTAGGGATAATATAAATAAATATATTGATTGCATGAATGGTATTGGTTTCACTGAAGTATACGAAGACACGTATGCAAATATAGCTTTTAATAGATTTCATGACATATTTTTACACTTTTATAACTTATGTTTTCCAAATATTAAAGGAAAAATACCGACCGCAGTTAAATCAAAATGGATCACACGTGGTATTAAAATCTGTTGTAGGAGAAAGTGTGGAGAAAGTGGAAGTACAGACAGCGGCCAACTAAGGAAAATAAGTTAAATTTTAGACTATTAGCTAGCAGACTCAAAAAAATAATCCAAGTTACACAAAGGTCACAAAATATAAATTATATAAACACTGCCAAAAATAAAAGTAAGGCTACTTGGAAAATGATAATCAAAAATAAAAATAGATTACCTATTAATAGTATTTAAAAAAACAAAACGATAACCAAATTTTGACGAACCCTTCTGACATAGCACAAGCGTTCAACGATTTCATTGTGGATCTAGTAGAAACAAATAATTTACCAAAACAATCACAATTGCAATTTTACTATTTTAGTAACAAATCCTCATCTATGTTTATGCAGCCTACCATGCCTCAGGATATACACCAAATTATACACAAATTTAAAAACTGGATATGACGGTATCAGTACTAAAATATGAAAAATGGTGTCGGTACCAATTTCACCTATATTAAGTCATTTGATAAATAACTGTATCACAGAGGGAGTGTATCCTGAAAAGCTAAAGAGATCACTAGTAAAACCTCTGTTTAAAAAAGACCATAAAGAAAACATGAAATCCTACAGACCAATTGCCTTAATACCCATACTTGCAAAGGTTTTTGAAAAAGTGATACACAACACCTTAAACAACTACTTTGACAAAAACAATCTGTTTACAGACAACCAGAAAGGATTTAGAAAAAACAAACGTACTGATGTAGCTATTTATGAATTTCTGAAGGAAGCACTTTACATGGATATGACGAAGACATTTAATTACGTCAATCGCAGCATACTAATATAAAAATTAAACGCCTATGGTGTTCGAGGCAATGTGTCTAAACTGCTTAAGTCGTACCTTACGAATCGCCAACAAATAAAATAATTGATAGAATATGCTGTGACACTAAAACTGAAACTTCTTACAGTTCAAATACCAGGACTATTAAATGTGGATTACCACAGGGAAGTACACTAGGCCCTCTCCTGTTTATCATCTACATCAACGACTTTCCAACCGCTACAAAATTTCCTATGGTAATGTTTGCCGATGACAGCACCGTCGTATTTAATAACGATAATATTAATACCACCAGTTCCGTAATCGAAGAGAATATTATATCTCTGGTCGGCTGGCTTGATTTGAATAATCTTAAAATTAATTTAAGTGAAACGACAATTATTAATTTTGGACAAAAAGAAAATAATACGATGGATATAAATATTAAATACAACAATAAAAGTATTACTGACATCAAAGTAGCATCATTCTTGGGTTTGCAAATTGAAAGTACTCTAAAGTGGCATCCACAAATTAAAAAGGTGTGTGGTAAACTAAACCAATATGCGTATACACTACAAATGCCAAACAAAACCGTGAACCAAGATACAATTCTTGCTGCCTATCGCATCCACGCTTAGATACTGAATTATTTTTTTGGCAATGCAGCGGGTAAAGAATTAGTTTTCAAGTCTCAAAAACGCTGCATAAGGGCAATATGTAATACCTTTACTACTGACACATGTAAACCATACTTTGTAAAATTAAAACTACTTACAATACTATCCATTTATATTTTTCTTTAGTTTATTTGTTGGACGAAACTGGTCAAAATTTTCAAAGGTGTCAAGTAACCGCAGAGCTGGTTAGCTACTTATGGTTAAAGCTAAAATCGCCCTATATCACAAAAGCATATTTGTCATGGCAGCTAAAATCTATAACAAGCTGCCCATTTAAAAGTAAAATGATAGAATTTTTAATAAATAAAGCCTATTACCTCTGTTGACGA